GGCGTGCTGCATCTGACACCTGAAAACAGACCAGTCTTTCATCCAAATAAACTTGTCCCATATGCAGCCTTACCATCTCTCGAGGCTGCACTGAAGCATTTGGTGAAAGTGGGGGTTCTACTTCCTGTATATTATTCCGCCTGCGCCATTAAAATTGTTGTGGTTAAGAAGCCTAATGGTTCGATCCGCATTCGCGATGACTACTCGATCGATCCTAATGTCGCGTTGTTGCCGAACTGCCATCCACCGCCGGTTCTGCCTGATCTTTTCAGCCTGCCGAATGTTCTTACTTACTTTGCCCAATTGGATCTCGTGAATGCGTATTTGCAGATCGAGGTCGTCCCAAATTCGTACCCATTATTGACCATCAACACCCACCGCGGTCTGTTCCAATACACCAGACTGCGCTTTGGTGTCAAGGCTGCCCCAACTCTATTCCAAAAAACCATGATCGCAATGCTCTCCGCCATCCCGTCACAGCTGGGCACGTAGACAACATCCTCGTCATCGTGGGTCGTTCCCCTGCTGAGCTGCAAGACCAAGTGTGCGTGCAGTATTCGGCCAACAATTGCCACTTCTTCCTTGGTTCCATCAGGTACCTCGAATTCGTCTTTTACGTCACTGGTCGCAATCCAGATCCTGAACATATCACTGCTGCACAACAGATACTTGCACCCAAGAATTTATCGCAACTTAGTTCATGCCTTCGCCTGGTCAGCTAATAAAGTGGCTTCCTGGCATCACTGCGTTACTTTCTTGCCCCACCCTCTCAACAGTCTGCTGCAAAAGGATGCTCCCTGGTGCTGGTCTTCCGACTGCGAAAATGCCTTCGTCCAGCTAAAGTCGATGCTGAGTACAGATCTGCTGCCCATGCACTAGCACACGACGCTGCCAACCGTTGTTGCTGCAGATGCTTCCAACCACGGAGTTGGTGCCGTCATCTGACATTCTTTTTCTGACGGGTCTGAAAAGGTGCTCATGCATGCATCTCGCACAGTAACTCATTCGGAGAAGAACTGGAAGCAAACAGAAGAGGAAGCACTAACCCTTGTGTTTGCCATCAATAGACTTCCACAAGTTGCTGAACGGTCCTCCCTTCATGCTGTTGACAGATCATAAACCGTTGCTGTCAGTTCTCGGCACGAAGAAGGACATTACTGTCTATTCCGACAGTTTAATTTTGCCATGGGCAACCATTCTTCTTGGTTACCACTTCGGCATTCGATACTGCCATACTACCGGCGTTGATCAGGCGGACGCCCTTCCTCGAATCAACTGAAAGCACTGCCGCGGACATCCGACGTACTACTGAACAGGATCTCGTCCGCCACCAGGCCATCACCTGAGATCAGGCCTGCTGGTCAAGCATTGCTATCGCTGGAGATCTTTAATAACTGTTCCTGCGCCGAGCATCGCTTTCAGAGGTTGATACCTGTTTCATGATTGCGGACCGTGTGGTGAATCCATCTTCCCTTCGACCTTCTCTACTACGCCTATTGCATGCGGCACATCTTGACACCAGCCCGATAAAGTCAATTGCCCCGGTTTTGCGTGCTGGCAGGCCGCCGACAGCGACATCCACAATCTGGTTCGTCACTTTTCCCAAAAGCCACCAATTTCCAGCTTCGTCAATCAATAACGACCTGGCGAATGCTGGGGGGGGGGGGGCTTGGTCACGCGTGCATATCGATTTTGCTGACCCACTTAACCGAGTCTCCAACCTATGGTTAACTTCCACTAGTAGCGGCCAGAGATTGCTCCGCAAACTCCAGCGACGGCATTTGGCCCTATCGCAACTGTTTTCCTGCAGGACAACGCCGAACCCGGCGTCGCCTGGAGGCCTTTCTCCTGTCGAAGCCGTGGTTAGTCGAAAACTGCGAACAACGTTTCACGCACCTGTTCCTGCGCCAATCTAAAGCCACACATATGAAGTCGCAGATTTGCTTACTGGCAGGGTATCGACAGCGACATCGACATCTAGGACGTCAGACAAAGTGCGTGCACCGATCAATACTTCCGATGAAGGTCAGCCCACGCCAAAAGCGGTACCGAAAGACTTGGGATGAAGGGAGGTGTTGAGAGTGCATACACTCCCAATAGCCAGAACCAGTCAATCACCGGTGGCCAAGAGCACCTTCACTAGCACGTTGCCAGTATGATGTTGGCGCCTGGCCATTGGCTGCTCGCCTCGAACCTGGTTGGTTCGTGCATACGAAAAACCGATTAGCTCGCCTGGAATCTTCTTCTCGATGTGCATTGGACGGAGTGCAGGCGAACCCCAGCAGGATGTTATAAATGCGAGTTAGTTACCCAGTTAGAACGACTTGCAGATCTCTGATACAGTTTTGCCTGGACAGTCGTGTTCTCTTTCGCTTCCACATTGGTGTTGGGGAAACAGTCGAGTGCGCGTACGCTTAGTGTGTTTTCTGAGTACCAGGCCGGGCCATGGCAATCAGGCAATGATCGCCCTCAACTATTATCTGGCTTATTTGGTTGCCCCACGTGGTCAGACTTGAGTGGCCTGGCACGAGGACGAGATGGATTCGACCCAGGTTTCTACACTATGCCATTATTCTGTGTCATGGAGGTCGCTTGTAATAAAAGGGATGGTCCATCTTTACTGCTCAGATCAAGTAGCCTGGTACATTTGGGAGTATCAATTACGCTTCTTGGAGATGTTTCACATTGGCAGGTCTCACCTGGGTCGGAGATAGTGCGCTCGGGTTAGGAGTTGATAGAACTAAGGCCGCCGCAGATAGGCGGAAATGTTGGCTGACACCAGATGAAGGACCTACCTCGGGGACAAATTTCAGATGAGTAGAGTTTTGGATGACAATATGCTTGCTAATGACGTGAAACGCCGGCATTGTTGTCCGGCCTTGTACTCTCTCAAGTCATGTTTAGTCCCTTGCTGGTCATGGCCAACACGCTTGTACGCCATATTCTAGATGCGG